CCTATGAATTTTTATCGCGAACGACAACGTTGACCGTCGTTAAAACGAAGACGCTACCGAAGGTATCTTTGCCTTTTGGACCGACCACGTCTTTTCATCTAGTTGTTCTTTTATCTTACTTTTTTTGAATCTCTTGCTTTCACTGTACAAACGTGTATCTTCATTTACGCGAGTACATATTCAGATTTCTCGTGTACACTGTAACGACGCGCTCGTTAGAGAGTTCGTCAAAGGGTAAATATGTTTTTATTGTGTTTTCTACAATATAGTCTCAAGATAGTCCTCAATTAAAGCGAGTTTCGCGACTGCGAAAGTTCTTGGTTTCTCTTGTTTGGTGTTCGCGAAAAGGATCTCCGTGATTTTATTTTGTTTTATTGGATTATTTGGGGAAACAGCGTTCATCGAATGCCTTGAAATTCACAATTTTATTTATTTAATTTTCATTAATTAACGTGCAATCACGAGACGTTACGATTGTGCAGTTATTGATTTTGATAAAACTTTTCCTGAGGAATTAGAGCGGGAATCACTCTCGTATTTAGCTTTTGTTTGTATATGTTGTTAAAAGAGATATTTTTTGACTTGGGAAGTGATACAATTTTTAATTATAAGTTATAGATTTTTAAATTAGGTTCTCATTTATAGAAATTGTAGAACGTGGAAAAACACTTATAAAAATTCAGTTACAAAATAAAAAATGATACATGTGAAGTCGTCAGAAGATCAAGACTTCATTACAACCCTCTTCATATTTCCAATGATGAGACGTTGACAGATGAACAAGAAGTGAATTCAGAAGAGGTAGATGTTTCTAAGCCATCACTAGCTTGAGCAAATTAATGTTACGAGTCAATTGCAGTTAGAATTTTCAATGACACACGTGAAGTAATCAGAAGATCAAAACTTTATTACAACTCTCCCCATATTTTCAATGATGAGACGTTGACCGATGAACAAGAAGTGAATTTAGAAGAGGTAGATGTTTCTAAGCCATCACTAACTTGAGCAAATTAATGTTACGAGTCAATTACAGTTAGAATTTTCAATGACACACGTGAAGTAATCAGAAGATCAAAACTTTATTACAACTCTCCCCATATTTTCAATGATGAGACGTTGACCGATGAACAAGAAGTGAATTTAGAAGAGGTAGATGTTTCTAAGCCATCACTAACTTGAGCAAATTAATGTTACGAGTCAATTGCAGTTAGAATTTTCAATGACACACGTGAAGTAATCAGAAGATCAAACTTTATTACAACCCTCCGCATATTTTCAATGATGAGACGTTGACAGATGAACAAGAAGTGAATTTAGAAGAGGTAGATGTTTCTAAGCCATCACTAACTTGAGCAAATTAATGTTACGAGTCAATTACAGTTAGAATTTTCAATGACACACGTGAAGTAATCAGAAGATCAAAACTTTATTACAACCCTCCCCATATTTCCAATGACGAGACAAGCAAGAAATGAATTTAGAAGAGAATGTTAAATCAGATCAGATGATAATTCGGCGAAAAAAAGGCAGATTCGCATACGTGTGAATGGAACAGGCGAATTTCTGTGGCGATGGACGAGTGCAGTATGCAATGCAGACGCTTCCGCTCGAGGGTTGAGGGTGGAGAACCTCGGCGTGAACATTATGCGGTGCACCTCGCGTTTAGCTTGATAAATGGCGGCGAAGCAGCAGCGAATGCCTGCGTTGTTGCAGCCGCCACCGCCGTCTTTGCCCTTGTTTCCTCCCTTTTTTTTCTCTCGTTTGTTTCGCGCGCACTTTTTCCTCTCTTCCTTCCTTCCTCTTTTTTGCGGCAAAGTCGGCCGATTTTCAAGGGGAAAAAAATCCACCGCAATCGCGCGACTGAAGAGCACGGGAGCGAGGGAAACGCGCCGAAAAGCGATCGTTATTTTCTAGAAAACGTTCAGACACGAATCTGTGTATATACGTGACAGTTAATGATAGTTGTTTCTGTACAAACGGTGGTCAGTTTCTGTATAAATTATGTACTTATTAAATGGATATTGTGTACATTAACACTGTAAGTTCAATTAATAGTACCGATTTTGATGAGGTTAGGAAAGCCGCCATTTTGCAGCCAGACTACCGCGAAATTTAAATTTTAAATAATTGCGTATTTGAGTTGAGAGAAGTTACATAAAATAATATATTAAAATAGTAAAATAATACATTATTTTATGTCAAGGAAGAATTTCTATGTATTTTTATAAATGAACTCTTCAATGACTTCAATTATATACAGTTTATTTTTAAAACATCAATAATATATTTTCATTTTTCTTTACCAAAATTTCTCTCAATTCTTACATCTTTCTCCTAACCATCTCACCCAGATTCACCTCAATTATTTTAACAACAATTAGTTCGACAAATTGAAATTTTAACCCCGATAAAAAGCAAGTTGAACGATTTTTCAGGCACCCAAGTTTTCTTTGATTCCCGTAAGTTTTATTAATCGCCATGAAACTAGTCGATTGCCGCAAATCGATATAACTTTCACAAGTTCGAGAATTCTCTTCGAGTTTTGAAATTCGAGTTGCCTGGTGTTCGATGTCGGTCGACATCGAACCGAGTTTCTGCCTCTGCGGCGAACGTTCCGTGGATTTGATCAATCAATATTACCAAACATTTGGATCTTTAAGGTTCGATAAACACACTTTGGATTAATTGCTGCAAATAAAACAGGGAAGTTAAAAATTAAATTCAAAGTGAAATTTTTGAGGCCGAAGATAATTTAACAGCTAAGCAAATGCTAAAAGCATTTAACAGCTTAGTACTATTCATAATGACTGATCTTTGAGGATAAAATATTCTAAGTTACAGCTTTCATCCATATTTATGTGAACTATCGAATTACCCTAAAAGGCAATAACCAGCACAAAAGATGTATAAGCAAAAGAATTTATAATTATCGATTATCAATCAAGTTACCTTTCACTTTCTTGTATTTTAATGTTAAAAGGACCGTACCGTCCATTAAATTGCCATTAGATTTAATGCAATTCTTATCGACCTTATTTGCATCGAATTTATTACTCCTTGTTCGCGTTATAAACGACTTCCATAGATTTTCTTGAGAGGGGTTTCCAATTTATTCCGCATTTCTTTTAGAATCCGTGCCCGATTGTTCCTTTTTATCGTCGCGAAAGAAAAGTTCCACCAAAGAGCCGATTTAAAATTTAAAGTGTGCACAATGCGTAACATTATCGGTTCGAATTTCATACGTGACTATTCCGTATTCGCGTAATTCGGATTCCGATATTGTGCACCGAGTCGAAACAATCGATTGGACATCGAACAAGAAAGCGTGCTCGAAGAACGCGTTTCAAAAATGGCGTCGAATATTAATTCAGGGAATTCACGCTGACATTTACATCCGGAGATACAACGGTAATTGACCGTTTAATTAAACGTTTTAAGCTCGCCTGATGACAATGACAACTTCTCTGATAGATTCTATCAAGGGACCTCGCAGGAACGTTTACGTGACACGAACATCGTAGCCGTTTTAGAAATGACGTGGATTATGATGGATCTGATTAAAATGAACTACATTTTGAAATCAAAGTTCTCGTGTAACTCGACTACCTCACGGAAAGAGCAAATTATAAAAGTTCGTTTGCCTCGTGACTCGTTTAATCAAACGACCGATTTTTCATCTTTCTTTGTTTTCAATTTTTGCAACGGTATCGTTCTATTATAAAGGGAATTCGGGCAAGGAACAACAGAAACGGTGATTTTTTAGTTTAAACATTGTTGGTTCGTGATGCTGTTAAACCATGAAATAAATAACTGAAATAAACCTTCTCGTCGATTATCGAGAAAGGGCTGACACGATATCGGTATGTTTCGTATTTCCGCGTAAAAATTTTATGAACCGTGTTTTCAATTTCCCTTTGAAATGATGCGAATTACAATGCATCGGAAATTGTAATTAAACATTGCGATGTTTAAAAATAAAATCGGGTTCACATGAAATGACCTCTGCCACTAGTATCCGTCGAAATAATTTGTCGAGGAATATTTTTGAAAATATCTCATGAAATTATGTGCCTCTATCCATCATTTTTCAAGAATTTTAAGAACAAGATATTTCGAACAGAGTCTTCGCCGTGAATATTATAAAAAATACTTAAGCACTACGTGATAAAATAATTAAACATAAAAATAAACAGAAGAAAGTGTAATAGTATTTTACGGTTTATTAGCGATATATGGTATAATTTCATCGTACCAAATTGAGTCGAATTATCAAGAATTTTCATCGTATACCTAAGTCTCTCGCACACATGAATGCCATAACTCGTAACTTACAACGATTCGTATAGAGCTTGATAAAAGACAGGAAAGCGAAGATGTGAGAAACGATCGAACATCGGATGTTGATGAAACGAATGGAAAAGCTTGTGCTTCCATTAGAAAAAGTCTTCAACTTCGGGACTTCACTCTGTTACTCCATTATGCACACCTTGAAATTTTCCCTTTTTATTGTTAAAAGTATTCCAAGGTTTTCGTTGATAGATACAAAATTAGGTACAAAATTAGTGTGTAAAAATTTTAATAAAATTAGTTACTTAATATATATATTTCTGGAGTTATCAATTTTATGGATTTATATGATAATTTGTTCAAATTAGGATGTCACTGACAAGTAATGAGAAAACATAAAATTCAACTTTACAACTAAAAAATTCTGATGATAAATATACAAGTTTTTATTAGTAATATGTTTGCTAGTAATATGTTGATGTTAGGAATATACAATTTTTTATGTTAGTAAAAAATGTCTGTTTTTAAAAAATCATATTCCTGTATACCCAATAATAGGATCACGTGATAAAATTTTTTGAATTGATTTCATCAAGATGAAGAATATTCTTTGTCACTTTTTTTTCAGTTTGAAATTGATATACTTATTTTCAATTCAAAAGTTGACATACATACTTTCAACTAAATTATTTATGACATTATTTATTTTCATTTTAAAATTTGAAATGTAGGAGTGAATAGATAGTTACATTTTAAGCATTGTTAAAATTAAGACCATTGTCAATAGATAACGACTGAAGTATAACTTAAACTTCATATCATAAAACAGTAAAAACATCCAAAAATTATTTATAATAATTAGGTGCTCATAACGGAGTGTCAGAGTGTCTGCGCTTACACACGATTCTCGTCGGAGATTCTGTTATCACGAGTTCGTCTTTGTCGATGACACAACGAGGATTAGAGTTCCGGAAGTGAGCGTCGCGTATTCGAAGCGGAAACTCGCGCATTAATCGAACGCTCGTTTCCATGTTGCATTGGTCTCTAACGAATGATTATCGACGTTTAGGATCGACGCGATACGATCAGAATTACGAGCGAAGGAAACACCGTCGATCGAAATTTCACTTTTCTCACTCTTTCGCACCCCTTTCAACCCCTATTTGTCTTCCTGTTCCGTTCGTAACACGTTCCGACAGGGTGGCTGAATAATTGCGGAGGAAAGACGATCCTTTGTATTCTGATCCTCGCTTTTGTCCCGATGGTTTGTTCCGTTCCTCCCGCCATCTCAATTTCCGCCCCGACAAGGCACGGAGCTTAATCGTTCCGCGAACTCGTCGCGAGTTCCGCGTCGCGTGTTCAGCAACGATTACGATCAGTCATTTTGTTGCGTCGCTGAAACTGCACCCTCCGTGATACACCCCCTCTTGACGGTGTTAGGCTTCCAGGCATTCGGTTTTTTCACGTTTCGTCGTCGATTCGTGTTTTCTATCGTCGACGGTACAACGATAACGCGTCACTACACCACCCGTGATTTCCGGTCGCACGAACGCGAGTACTTTCTTCGACGTTTGTCCCCGATCGCTGTGTTCGTCACGGTGCATGTCCTTCGTTTCACCGTTTACGACCGGGAAAAGGAACAGTGGTCCAGAATGGGGAACGGTTAGTACAGCAGCAGACACAAACAGAGCAGAAGGGAGTAGAGCCTCGGTTGCTTGGCTTGGCCGCCATGCTGCATTGCCGCGGGATACTCTCCTGAAACAAAGGACAACACTTAAATTTTCCAAACACCATGGCTGCTGTTTATCCTTTAGAAAACTGACAGACAATTAACATTACTGCTTTATGAAGAATCAACGTTCATTTATGGAACAACTTGCATGAAACATTTTTCCATTTTGAGGTTAATTATTTAAACGATATTGATATTCTCTAAATTCCAATGTTATATAAATCATTAACTGCACTCAATGCTTTATTGCGGACTCAGATCTACGAGTTACCTATTTTTGTTTCATTTAAATATTTTACTATTGAAGTATCATTCATTGATAAATCAATTGAAACTTTTCGTGATGATTTATGAAGTGAAGAATATTTGATATCTGGCGTTATTACTGATTTATTAACTCGTGGGCCGCCATGTTGGCCAGCTGCGATCGACGATAACTCAGTTAAATTAATTATTTACAGTAAAAGAAAGGAACTGTGGTCTTTTAATATCATACATATAGAACTTAGAATCATTTGTAAAACTTCATAAGTTCCTCTAAATTGTTTTTAAGATATTAATTATAAATTGCTGGAAACTTTATACTTCCATTTTGTTCAAAATCAAACATGAACGAATTTAACATAACCTATACACTGATTTCATTTAAACCAAATCAAACTTTATTGACATTGCAATTTAATACAATATAACTTAACTTTATTAACATTCAAACATAGCACAATTTAATCAAACCTAATCTAAATGTACCACAAGTGAACATAACCTAAATTACCCTGACTTAACCTAACCTAATTGCAATACTATTATCATTCAAAAGCAAACTATATAAAATATAGAACATCATATAAAAGTCTTTTGCATAACATCAAATTGTGTGAACAATAAACATTAAAGAATTACAAGGAGATTTCTATTAACCAGTTCAACAAAGGGAATTCATTAATTAAACGCGTTGCGTGTCGTTTCTAGACGTTTCCCATTGTCGCTTATTAATTTTAAATTAATATTCAACAAAGAATGCTAATTTTTATGACGAAAGATTACCTTTCTTACAAAGTGAAGTAAGCTTGAAATATAACGAGGACGTAAAAGGGACAAGTTGGAGTAACTCACCGTTGAGTACGTGTACGGTGATCGATTTTGGTTGAGAGTTGCTTGGATTACAAGTATATCGGCCAGAGTCCGACGGTTTTGCTTCCTGTACCAACAGGAAGCTGGTGGTGGTGTCACCCTTCTCGGTGACCACGGATACTCCTCCCCTGGACGAGTCGTAGCTGATTATCTGCAACAAAGAACGGAAGTACGCTTTCAGCAGAGTCACACGAACAAGTTCTGTTGTGGCTTGAAACGAGAAGACAGACAGCGAAATAAGGAAGAGGATTCGCGAAACTTCGCAACGATTTCCTCCCTTTTATACCGCGGAACTAACCGAGGACGGAAGATAAGCTAATGGTACATCGCGGTATTCGTCAACGTTTAAACGAACGCCAATAAGAGACAAGGGAAAAATTTCTTTCTGGAAAGTTACTAATCGTAAAGTTGCGAAGAGGCGAAGAAGATAGTTCGGAGCTTAACTACTTGAAGGATCATGAGCAGTCTGCATCTGACTTCTACTTAAAAGCTTCTGATGCTAGCTCGCTTTTAGGATCGGCCAGTGTTTATGAACATTTGGAGAGCTTATTAAACAACCGTTCGCGGAGGGTGAATTCGTTGGGAGATGGTAAATTTTGAAATAGCGCGAGGGAACTTTGAACAATGGCAGTGTATTCTTGTTGCGTAATTCCTCGACATTCTCGCGTTATTAAAAATTACGGGCGTGGCTGTTTGGGGAGACAGGATGCATTGCGTGGAGATTACGGAGATTGCAATTTGGGGAAATTATAGTACGTTGTAATTATTACGCGCTGTGTTTGTAGCGGAGAGTGTTACAGAAGAGTAAAATTACAACGTTATTACAGAACGTTAAAATTACGAGTTGGATTTGTGTACTGAGATTGTAATACATCAGGAACTGTGCGTTGAAATTGTAGCTCGCTGCACCTATCACGCGTTGAGATTACAGCGCGCTGCAATTATCACGCGTTGAGATTACAGCGCGTTGCAGCTATTACGCGTTAAAAATATAGCGCGCTGCAATTATTACGCGCTGAAGTTCCAACGCGCTGCAACTATCACGCGTTGAGATTATAGCGCGCTACAACAATTACGCGTTGAGAATATAGCGCGCTGTAACTATCACGCGTTGAGATTACAGCGCGTCGCAACAATTACGCGTTGAGAATATAGCGCGCTGTAACTATCACGCGTTGAGATTACAGCGCGTCGCAACAATTACGCGTTGAGAATATAGCGCGCTGTAACTATCACGCGTTGAGATTACAGCGCGTCGCAACTATTACGCGTTGAGATTACAGCGCGCTGCAATTATCATGCGTTGAGATTACAGCGCGGTGCAGCTATTACGCGTTAAAAATATAGCGCGCTGCAATTATTACGCGCTGAAGTTCCAACGCGCTGCAACTATCACGCGTTGAGATTACAGCGCGTCGCAACAATTACGCGTTGAGAATATAGCGCGCTGTAACTATCACGCGTTGAGATTACAGCGCGTCGCAACAATTACGCGTTGAGAATATAGCGCTGAGAATATAGCGCGCTGTGCGCGTTGCAGCTATTACGCGTTAAAAATATAGCGCGCTGCAATTATTACGCGCTGAGGTTACAACGCGCTGCAACTATCACGCGTTGAGATTACATCGTGTCGCAACTATTACGCGTTGAGAATATAGCGCGCTGTAACTATCACGCGTTGAGATTACAGCGCGTTGCAGCTATTACGCGTTAAAAATATAGCGCGCTGCAATTATTACGCGTTGAGATTGCAGCGCGCTGCAACTATCACGCGTTGAGATTACATCGTGTCGCAACTATTACGCGTTGAGAATATAGCGCGCTGCAACTATCACGCGTTGAGATTACAGCGCGCTGCAACTATCACGCGTTGAGATTACAACGCGTCGCAACTATTACGCGTTGAAAATATAGCGCGCTGCAGCTACTACGCTTTAAGATTATAGCGCGCTGCAATTATTACGCACTGGGATCACAGCGCTCTGTAACTATTTCGCGTTGAGATCACAGCGTGCTGCAATTATTAAGCGCTGATATCACAACGCGCTGCAACTATCACGTATTGAGGTTACAACGTGTCGCAGTTATTACGTGTTGAGATCGCAGCGCGTTGAAATTGCAGCACGTGGAATTTATAGCGCGCCAAAGTTGCAGCGGGTTGAAATTGCAGTATGTAGAGATTACAACGCTCCGTTATTATGGAGTAGTCTGTCGAGTTTGTCGAAATTACAAAGCGCTTAAATTACAGCGTGTTGAAGTTATAGCGTTGAAATTACAGCATGTTGAAGTTAAAGCGTTGAAATTACAGCGTCTTGATGTTAGAGCGTTGAAATTACAGCATCTTGAAGTTAGATCGTTGAAATTACAGTATGTTGAAGTTACAACGCATTAGAAATGTGACTTATTGAAATTACAGCACATTGAGACTGCGTAAATTTACAAACTTAGCATCATAATTTTAGTTTAAAAATATTTAAAGATATTTTCAGTTTGTTATATTAAATCAAATAGAAAGTGTGTGTCTTTCTCGAAGTAAAAACGATCGAAAACGTTGTCAGTCTTTATACAGTCTACAGTTTGTACACTTACAGTCACCATAAATATCCCCGCTTTATTTCGATCACTATTCTTTCATACCCCAACATCTTTTTTCAGAATAGACTCCGAAAGAATAACACAAGGCAACGTCCAAATGTGCGACAGTACACACTGTCGGCCCCTGCAAACGTTCTGTTTATCCTGTTCCACTTGACGTTACTTGGGAGTGTCTCTTTAACGGGGCTCGTAAGGGTCGACGTTCGTTTGTGAACCTGGCAGAAGTAGAGGCTGTCGTGAGAGCCGAGACGAATTTCTAAATAAATGATCTAGAGCTCGAGCCTTCGCTTCGGTACGTTGTTCTCGTGTTCCGTCTTGAAACTGTCTTCAGGGAAGGTACCTTCCATGAAATTTCTTGAAATTCCTTCTTCAACCTCTTCGCTGGAATGTTGAACAATCTCCGTGAAAACTTTTTCATGTAAACCGTATCTCGGCATCAGAAATAGACATGTACAAATTTTATCATCTTTCATAATTTTAAATACAAAATTACTTTGTTTTTGAGGTGAATATAATTGACAGCACTACACTTTCTGTTTAATTATAGAGTTTGTTAAATTTTTGAAAGTTGAGGGTTAATTCTTGTATTAAATATCATGTATCTTCTCCTGGTATCAGACGTTAAAATTATACTAGCGATATTATCCGATAAGGTAACTGATTATTTATCCCAGTGATAGTAGAACAAGAACAAGTAGTCAGTACCAGTTGATACTCTTATTAAATATTATTAGTTTCTTCATATCAGAGTCAGAATTAAACTAGTCGTATATAAGGTAATTTATCCAAGTGATAGAACAAATAGACAAAACCAACCCGTTAGACATGTCTGCTCTAACATTTTAGAGTTCATCAGACGAATAGTTCAAAGTGCGATGAATCGTACGAGAAAGTTATAACTGGCTAGCTCGATAAGCCGGCCTTCCTTCCATTCTGTTATCTAGTTCACGATATAACGCAGAATAATATGCGAAACTTTCACTGGAAAGTGCATGGTTAATCCAGGCTCCGTGTACAACGGGTAATAACGACGACGCATATGCACATATCACATTCGTGTTCGCGTTTAAGCTGGTACACGTGTGGCCAGAACTTTCGTGCCACCAAAAAATTGAAATTTCCGTTCACCGTGTTACGTTACGTGGAAGTTTCGCATTACAATTTGCCAACTATTTTCATAAACCCATCGCGATTGCGCGACCACGCTATTCGACGAATTACCCCCTGAACGTTTCGCCCTGCAATTATATTTTTGTCGTTATGAAACTTTTATAATTTTCCAATTCGTATTCTGTGGTGCTATTTGGAAAAGTTATATTTTTACGCAAAATCGAGGGGTGTTGACGGAGATTCAAGTCGCCATGATGGATTTTTAGAAGCTCTATTGTGTTCTTTTTAGAAATTTTTCTTTCTACATATATTTCTATATTTCTATATGTATTTCTATGTATATTTTTATATTTCTATATGTATTTTTAGGTATATTTTTATATTTCTATATTTCTGTATGTATTTCTATGCATATTTTTATATTTCTATATTTCTATATGTATTTCTATATAAATTTTTTATTTCTATATTTCTATATGTATTTCTAGGTACATTTCTATATTTCTATATGTATTTTTAGGTATATTTTTATATTTCTATATTTCTGTATGTATTTCTATGTATATTTTTATATTTCTATATTTCTACATGTATTTCTACGCATATTTTTACATTTCTATATTTCTATATGTATTTCCATGCATATTTTTATATTTCTATATTTCTATATGTATTTCTATGTATATTTTTATATTTCTATATTTCTACATGTATTTCTACGCATATTTTTACATTTCTATATTTCTATATGTATTTCCATGCATATTTTTATATTTCTATATTTCTGTATGTATTTCTATGTATATTTTTATATTTCTATATTTTTAACTTCTACTCTGTATATTCGCATATTTACAAATTTCTGAACATTTATATTTCAAAACTCCACTAGCAGATTCTCCTTTCTCTAACTTCAAAATTACTCTCTTCATATCACTATAAAAGTATAAAACCGCAAGTTAATATCCCATAAAAAGAAATTTTTCATAAAGTAATAATCCCCGAAAACGCACGAAACTTAACCTATAAATGAACGCTTCCGTGTCTCCAGTAAAATCTTTATCGACATAAAATACGATTTCACCTGTTAATGCCTCCAAATAGATTTTCACACAGTTAACGTTAAAATTCTGCAAAGTAATTCCACGGTGTACAATATTAAAGTCTGTGAAACTAAATGTGCGGCTTTAAAAGTATTACAAAAATTTCTGCGGAGGAAAAGATAGAAGAAATTCGTTGACATAGTTCTAGCATCGCGTGGGAGTTTTAAAATTAAAGACACGAAGTGATCGTGAGAAAACTTCAAAGGACTACATAGAATAAGTAAGATACCCAAACAACGCTAGTTTTCTTAACAACATAAAGAAGTTTCCTAACTTTTCAGCGCTCCTCCCGCGTGGAAGCATAGTAGATTATGTTAAATCTCGAACCAATGGAAACTATATT